AATATTTCGCAATATGGCCCAGAAGCACAGCTGTGCTAGCATTGTCCTCGCAATCCATGTTTTCGTAAATTACAATCTGCATTAAAGTACGCATGCGCCACCAGTACCGCTACCGCTACTTTCTGAACTATAAATTGCAGAAAGTGATACCGCTACCGCTACCTTTACCTCTACCTTTACCGCTGCCTCTATAGTTCAGAAAGTAGCGGTAGCGGTACTGGTAGCGCATGCGTTCTGCAGATTGTAATTTTGTTTGTAAAATTTGACAGCAAAAGATTAAAGTTTTCTACGAAAACATGAATTGCGAGGACAATGCTAGCACAGCTGTGCTTCTGGGCCATATGGCGTTGTGCGAAATATTATATAATAAACCCTGCAAAACAATATATTATGTTGTATTGCAGGGTTTAAAGTACGTTATGGGGGTCGTCAAGTACGTCGCTATAAAACGAGGGAATTAATTTGGGAACGAGCTAAGAACCGCCATTTCCAGTATTAAAATAAAATAAAACTGACCGATAAAGAGTAGTTCTTTAAATACACAAATGACGGTGCCCATTTTTGACAAATTATCAAGTCTGATTGCCCCTCGCATAAAAACTAAACTTACAAGGCGAAACTGCCGTGTGATTGGCTGGAGTAGCGGTTGAGGTAAGAAAAGATGAAAGATGGTCATCTCTTGCCGCTACCTTCTTGCCTCTACCTCTCTTACCTCTACCTCTGACAACTATAAATTGTTTCGTACAATATTCAATGCCGAACTCGGCTACCGCTACCGCTACCTTTACCTCTACCTTTACCGCTGCCTCTACCGTTACCTTTAAAACTATAAATCCAGCTGTATAGTTCAGAAAGTAGCGGTAGCGGTACTGACGGCGCATGCGTACTTTAATTTTACTAAATTTTACTAAACTAAACTATACTTAATAATAATAAAATATTTTGAAGTTTTCATTTAGTTATAATATCGTCATTTATACTCAATTAGAAAAAACCCTGGTAGGAATTTTACGTAACTTTTTTGCATAATTTTATGTTGAAATGTCCCGGTTTATAACGTTATATGACAACGAAACCACTTATATTGGTAAAGATTAGCCACTAAAACCATATCGTTAAAAAAACGTTTTTACCTAAACATTTTTCCTTTAAAATGACTTATCATGACATCACGATGTTATAATATAAAGCTAGATTTATAGTTTTAAAGGTAACGGTAGAGGCAGCGGTAGAGGTAGCGGTAGCGGTATCACTTTCTGCAATTTAAGCCGGATTTATAGTTTTAAAGGTAACGGTAGAGGCAGCGGTAAAGGTAGAGGTAAAGGTAGCGGTAGCAGTATCACTTTCTGCAATTTATAGTTCAGAAAGTAGCGGTAGCGGTACTGGTGGCGCATGCGTACTTTAATGCAGATTGTAATTTTGTTTGTAAAATTTGACAGCAAAAGGTTAAGTTTTCTACGAAAACATGGCTTGCGAGGACAATGCTAGCACAGCTGTGCTTCTGGGCCATATGGCGTTGTGCGAAATATTATATAATAAACCCTGCAAAACAATATATTATTGCAGGGTTTAAAGTACGTTATGGGGGTCGTCAAGTACGTCGCTATAAAATGAGGGAATTAAATCGGGAACGAGCTAAGAAACGCCATTTCCAGTATTAAAATAAAATAAAACTGACCGATAAAGAGTAGTTCTTTAAATACACAAATGACGGTGCCCATTTTTGACAAATTATCAAGTCTGGTTGCCCCTCGCATAAAAACTAAACTTACAAGGCGAAACTGCTAACTAAAAACTGCCGTGTGATTGGCTGGAGTAGCGGTTGAGGTAAGAAAAGATAAAAGATGGTCATCTCTTGCCGCTACCTTCTTGCCTTTACCTCTCTTACCGCTACCTCTGACAACTATAAATTGTTTCGTACAATATTCAATGCCGAACTCTGCTACCGCTACCGCTACCTTTACCTCTACCTTTACCGCTGCCTCTACCGTTACCTTTAAAACTATAAATCCAGCTTTATGTTCAGAAAGTTGCGGTAGCGGTACTGACGGCGCATGCTTACTTTAATGCAGATTATAATTTTGTTTGTAAAATTTGACAGCAAAAGGTTAAGTTTTTTACGAAAACATGGATTGCGAGGACATTGCTGTGCTTCTGGCAATACAATATATTATGTTTTATTGCAGGGTTTCAAGTACGTTATGGGGGTCGTCAAGTACGTCGCTATAAAACGAGGGAATTAAATCGGGAACGAGCTAAGAAAAGCCATTTCCAGTATTAAAAAAATAAAACTGACTGATAAAGAGCAGTTCTTTAAATACACAAATGACGGTGCCCATTTTTGACAATTTATCAAATCTGGTAGCCCCTCGCATAAAAACTAAACTTATAAGGCGAGACTGCCAACTGAAAACTGCCGTGCGATTGGCTGAAGTAGCGGTTGAGGTAAGAAAAGTTGAAAGATGGTCATCTCTTGCCGCTACCTTCTTGCCTCTACCTCTCTTACCGCTACCTCTGACAACTATAAATTGTTTCGTACAATATTCAATGCCGAACTCGGCTACCGCTACCGCTACCTTTACCTCTACCTTTACCGCTGCCTCTACCGTTACCGCTGCCTCTACCGCTGCCTCTACCGTTACCTTTAAAACTATAAATCCAGCTTAAATGGTATATTGGTAGATATAGTGGGCGTGTCAAGTTTTACGAATAAAGTACCTGTGCACCAAATTCTTTGATAGTTATACGTCTTATATTTTTACTTGTTATAAAACCATTAACAGCGTATTTTAGTACAAAGTTCATACAATTATTTTCCAAGCTTAAAATTCGCACATGTAGTATGTACTTTTTCTTGATTTTCTAACGATTTAAATACTGAGAATATTGAATATAACCTAGAAACCTTGGTAGAAACAGATTCATTCATAATTAATGACACATCTTTTGTAATATCTTGACTTCACGATCTTCTTCAAGGTCATTAAAGTGTTTTGAATCTTGCTGTTTTTAAAACGCTGTAGCGTTGTTAAAAAAATGTTTGTGACCTGATCCTTTTCAAGGTCATTGACGCGTTTTGAATCTCGCGGTTTTCACAACGATGCGTTCTCTAAAAATTAATGTAACATGGTATAAAAAAAATTAACAACAAACTCGTATGCGTAAATTTCAAATATATACATAAAAAAAATGCATTTAACAACCGCATTATGTAGAAGGATACGTTTGTGGGTATTAAAACTCCGGCACTGTATAAACATAACACAATTTTACACCTTGGGAGTATTTATAGACATACAAGGAGCCTTCAACAAGGCTTCCTTTAAGTCCATAGGCAAAGCTCTGAGTAAACATGGTGTTCTGCCTATGCTCTGCACATGGATTGGCACAAGTTACAATGCAGAGCTGTCAGTGTAAGGGATGGGGACTCAACTGGAGGTGTGGTAATACAAGGCTGCCCTCAGGGTGGAGTACTCTTCTATAAAATTTAGGTGTTGACAGTCTGTTAGAATCCCTTAACAACAATGGGTTTATTACCTTTGATTATGCAGATGATATCACTATCATGCTAACGGGTAAAATTGAGAGCAGCTCTCAGAATATTTAAAAAGTGGTGCAAGGAAAACTCCCTGTCTGCTAATACTTTAAAAATAGAAATAATTGTTTCCACCAGAAAATGCCTAAGTTATTTGGAACCAGTCTGGAACCAACACAAATACTTGAGAATAATTCTAGACAATAAACTTAACTGGAGTAGACATCAAAAGCACAAAGTTCAGAAGGCCTCTGTGGTAAAAGAGATGTCGGGAGAACATGAGGACTGTCACCAAAGATAGCACTCTGATTGCACACGGCAGATATTCAACCAATGTTGTACTATGGATGCATTGTCTGGTGGCCCAAAATTAAACATACTACTGCAGTAAAACAGATAGACCCCGTGCACAGGTTGCCATCACAGGTGGAATGCGTACGACTCCAACAGCAGCTATGGAATCGATTTTAAACATTTCCTCTTTAGACCTCTTCGTACATGAAAATGCATCGAGATCGTCTCTCAGGCTTACTACCACCAAACTATGAAAAGGAAACAACTCAAACAATCGTATCCTGAATAGAGTGATTTGAGCTGGTTGCAGAATGCATTGATACACTGAAGCTGATCTCAACAAACAAAGTCATAAAAAAGGGCATAATGGAAATAAAGGAAATAAAAAGGCCGATGAATTGCAAGGCAGGGATTGGCAAAACTGCCAATAGGTCCTAAACTTATCTTGTCCATATTAAAATATGCCTTGAATTCCCAAATAAAGATATCAACCCACGAAAAACTAATACACCGATGGGCTGCCGTCACATCCAACCTATCTCTTGTCTATGGTCACACCAAAACTATAATTAGTAATCTGTTTGACACCTTTTTACATTGGGAAAAGTGAACAGTCCTCTCTGTACAGCCTGTATCTGGGAGAAGAAAACGTGACTTATATATTTTATGATTACCCTGATTCTCCAGTTAAGAAAGTCAAATTTAGAAAAAGAATGGGTTGTAACAGCCGATATTAGCCCCACATCTCCCAGATCCATAGCCAGCAAGAAAAAAAATGACTTTTTGGATGTAGTACAAAGGGCCAAGTACGTGTGTGTTATGGCTATCCAATAGGTTATTGTGAAACGCCACGGGTTCCATCGTTTCACTATCGTTGAACTGCGAGAGGGGGGCCGAAAAGTACAAGAAGTAGTACCTATGCAACGCTCACTATGTTTTCTGCTCATTTTGACAATTAACGATATTTTCACTAGTTTCGTTTTGTTATTTATTCTTTTAAAATAACATAAAAACTAGTACCAATAACGTTAATTGTTCCCCCTTTCGCAGTCCAATAATATACCTATACTTATAATTATGATTAAGACTGATTTTTGCACAATTTAATTTGGCACATATCTGACGTAAAGTAAATTTAAAATAAATTATGGTAATAAATATTTACTTCTAGGTTATCCACTTCAAACAAAGAATACATCCCTCAATATAAATCAGGAGCATATGGAATTTTACTGGTACTTTATAAGCAAAGTCTTAAACCTGACTTTGCTGGTTATTTAACTAAATTGGAAATAATTAAGCATGGACAAGCTTTAATAAACAAATCATTTACAAAACCTGATCCTGGAACAAGATACACTGCTTGGTCTTCAATGAAAAAGTTATTAACAGAGGAACTTGTATTAAAAAAGAGTAATCCAGCCAAATTTTCTTTAACTGAAAAAGGCATACAATTAGCCAAAAAGTTAAGTAATTTTAATGAGGAAGGTGAAAATAATGACAACAATGAAAATATTGAAAACACTAATTTAGTTGCTAGTACTTCTAAAGATACTGTCTGCCAAACGATTTTAAAGCAGTATTCATCAGAATCATTAAAACCAGAAATTCTAAAATATACTTCTATTTCTTCACAACAATCAAAAGCTGATAATATTGTAATGGATTTTGTTGCTAGTACTTATGAAAATACTGCTAGTAAAATAGTTTCAAGGCAGCTTTCAAGCAGTTCTATTCCATCAACTTTATCTTCAAAACCAGTTTTTCAAAAATTTATATCTAGCTCATCACATCAATCAGTTTCAGAAGAGTTTGTGGTTTTCGGACCTCATACTTTTGATATTATTCTCATTGTGGACAATCAGGAGACATGTGGGTAAGTAATTTATATTAAGATATTTCAATTATAAATAAATCTAATAAAACTGTGGGTAAAAGGCATAATGGGATAAGTCAAAAAAAGCAATTTTTCAGTAGAGCCTTAAACGTATTCGCATTAATTCAGGAAACATATTTATGGTTAGCTGGTATACCCTTTTGTTAGCACATGTCATATGCTAACAAAAGCGTATACCCGCTAAAAATAAATATGTTTCCTGAATTAATGCGAACACGTTAAAGGCTATTGAAAAATTTATTTTTTTGACTTATCCCCTTATGTCTTTTACCCACAGAAAAGTTTGTTTTCATTTGAGTTACAAGGTTTTAAAATTGAATTATAGTTTCTTTGGTTTAGACAGTTTATTAAACTGCAATTTAAATATTGGGGAAGCCAACTTTTCTATATATTCAATACTAAATAATTTTGGTGATTAAATTCTTGAATTAAATTACTATTAAGTTACTATTTTCAAAAATGTCATCTTTTAATCAAATATTTACGTCTAATTTAACTGTGTCGAAAAACGTGTATTTATATTTATATTCCATATTTACCCTTAGGTCGTAATTAATTAATTTAATATCGGCTTAGTTTTCAGTTTCCAAAGTATACTCCTTAAACGGTTTTGCGAAATAATGGGTACAGCCATTCTAAAAAATATATGATTTTTTTAAACTTTACCAAAATCAGTTTTACGAACATTTCAAACACATTTTTAAAAATCGAAAAAAATATTAGTTAGAAAAAAACGATTTTTAGTTTCAAAAGTTTGGAGGTCTGTTTCTCAGTTATTTTAAATTTTTTGATATATGTTTTCCTTGGGAATTAATTTTGTTTTTTGATTCTCTACCGAATGGCAAAATTAAAATAATGAAACCCGGGATACCCTGTATATAAATAAATTTAAAAGAAAAATGTAAAATAATAATAATTTATATTATAACTTTTTATTTCCGCTTAATTGCTGTCATTTTTGTAGAAGCTATGACGTCATCTGCCGTTTTTTTTAAATTGAAGACCATTTTTTGATTAATTATGAAATTCTGAATTAAGGAATATGCACATTTATACCTTTTGGGATGATAGTTGTGGGTATTATAAAACTTAAAAGTTCTTGATATAAAAAATTTTATTTTCAAAAAAAAACGTATTTTTATGAAAATTATTTTGAAAATGATACATTAACCAATTAAATGTTTATATAATTTAATATATTTTATTTTTTGCTTGTATATTATTTTATTTTTATTTTATTACTATTTTTTTGTGTAATTTGTTCTGTAATTGGATTTTATAACTGCTCCCCTTTGGTTTCTTGTCAGTAAGCCACCCTATCCGAAAATTCTCTGAGAACGTTTTGGATGACTTTCGCACTAATGAAGCAACATTCTTCACGAATTTGATTTTCCAAGTCTTATAAATTTTGTTTTTGATGTATGTTAGCCCTTTAAGAAATAATCTAGAGGAGTGAGATCTGGAGATCTCGCTGGGCACTCTAATAATAATAATAATAGTTTATTACCCATAAAACATACATACAAATCAATATAAGACTTAGATTTAAGGGCAAAAGGTAGAATGCTCAGATTTACAAAAAAAAGTTTGGATTCTGTTCTTCCGCATTCTCCTTGTGTTAGTAATCTTACAACTAAGTTAGTAATCTTACAACCAAGTTAATTTACAATGCTTAATACATTTACATTAGGGGCCATTCCACGCGTAACGGATAGGACAGTTGCCGTGTTTTTATTTACAAAATAATATTGTTCTATTATATTACCAATGTCAAATTTTTATAAATAGTTCTAAACTAAAGCTGTTTAACAAGGTTTTTATTTGGCAAAATTAGGTATCGTGGTTGACTGTTTAACTCCTTAAAAACTAATAATTTAAAGCGTAACGGACGGGACTTTGTAATAGTCCCGTCCGTTACGCTTTAAATTATTAATTTTTAAGGAATTAAACAGTCAATCACGATACCTAATTTTGCCAAATAAAAACCTTGTTAAACAGCGTTTGTTTAGAACTATTTATAAAAATTTGACATTGGTAATATAATAGAACAATATTATTGTTGCGTAATCGCATATTGTTTTTTTGTTTATTTTTGAATATTGGTAAATTTATTTAATTTAGTTTCTCGGGTATTTGTTTATATTTCTTAAGCTGGGATTGGGAGCAAATAAATTGTTAGTTATTTCGCGTGTATTAAAAATTTGCGCGCGCAGAGTTTGTTGAGCGAACAGGTAATAGTAGAAAATTAGTCTTCGTCGAGCAAGTATGATACGGTGCTCGCTCTCAAGTGTTTGAAAACTTGCTTTATGGATATCAATCAAGAAAAGGGGCCCCGCAAACGAACGATTCTACACTATTGGTAAGTTTGCTCATAAACACGTTAAATATAACAACATCTCTCTCCAAAATCAGCTTTATCTTACAAACCAGCCAATAGGCAAACATCAGCCAGTTTTTTTTGTAATAGATACAGTCCACTAAACCTCAACATTTTGGTCCTTCGAGCCGGATTTTTTTGGTTCGTCTATTTGCTGGTTACTAGATAAAATTGAAAATTTATTTGCTCTCTCTCTCTCGCTCATATATTAAATAGTCTCCGTATTGTCGTTCTCACTCTACACGCTCATAACTCTCTCTCACTCGTACGCATAGCATGCATCTCTCTCTTAAGCAATTAAAATTGAACATTATTTAATTTTGTTGTAACAATAGTTTTTGCACCTCATTTGTTTTTGTTTTTTTTTACTCTCACAGCGGTTTTCAGTAATTTATAGTAATTGTTAGCTTTCACTAATAAATAATTAAACTCAACATACAATTCCCTTTGCATTTATAGATTTTATAGGTTCTTGGAGTTTACTCTTTTGTAAAATTTTAATTTGGGTTGTTTTTTATAAAATCACTATTTAAATTGTAATTCACGCGTTAAACTAGTTACAGTTTATTCACGATTTTCGGCATATACGAGGGACGCTCAAAAGGTAGATAATTTGCGATATCTCTTCTCAAGTCAGAATGGCTGATCAAGAGGAAATAAATCGGTGTACTGCTATTCGCTTAACGTATATAAGGGAAATTGAAGAATTAGAAGAACTAGGTAAAGAGTCTATTGCAAATAAATCTTTACAACTTCGCTTTAAAATCGCTTTTGAAACTGTAGAAAAAATTGTTTGTGGGTTTGAAACCGCTCATTTTAACCTTGTAGAGTTATGCGATCCTGGTTCAAATGACTTGGAGAAGTATCTTCAAATAAGGTCGGATTTTCGTAACGTATACTACCTCATTAGGGAATATGAAGCTCAATTGTTTGCCTCTGATAATAGTAAAGTAAAACCCGAGCAATCTATTAAGCCTACTCAACGGAACATAAAACTATCAAAAATTGAAGTGCCAAAATTCTCTGGGGATTATAAAAAATTCATATCGTACATAGACACCTTTAATTCACTAGTTCACAATAATGATTTACTTTCAGACATAGAAAAATTCAATCACCTTATAAACTCTCTCAATGGTCCTCCTCTTACACTAGTACAATGTACTCCGCTAGGCTCAGATAATTACAATATAGCTTATAATGCTCTTGTTAAAAGATATCACAATACGCGCTTGATTGCAAATGCACACTTGGAGGAAATTTATAACGCCCCTCGTATCGGCGAAAATCGCGCTACTGCACAAAATTTGAGAAAACTCCTGGATACTTTTACTGAAAATATAGCCGCTTTAAAAAATATGAAATACCCGGTTGAGCATTGGGATTTCGTATTGTTATTTTTACTCAACAAATGCTTGGACATAGGCACTGTAACTCGTTTTGAACTGGAAAGTGGGCTTGATAACCACACAGATCCCAAGTTTACATCCTTGGAAGCTTTCATTCTAAAACAGTGTAATGCTCTCGATGCAGTTGCTTGTTCCACCCAACGCAAAACGTTAAGGTCGTTAGATTCCCCGTTCTCTGCCTCTAAACCCAAACCATCGTCTTCGTTTATGATTCATACTCAAAAAATAGCTTTTCCCCCTTTGCAAATCTACAAGTCATAACATTTATTCGTGCTCCCAATTTCTTGCAAAATCTCCTCACCAACGCTATGACCATGCAAAGGCGCAGAAATGGTGCCTAAATTGTTTGGGCAACAAACATGTCGCTAAGGATTGTACATCAACCTACGCATGTCGTAATTGTGGTAAGCGGCATCACAGTCTCTTACATTTTGATTTTGAAAACTCTTTACCTCCTGAGAATAATGCTCCAATAGTCGCTTTGACCTCAAATTCTCAAAACACCTCTAATGTTGCTCATTCTCTCTCAAACTTTTTAATCTCGGGCTCCACGGTACTCCTATCGACCGCTGTCGTCCGAGTGAAGGACACGCATGGATCTTTACAAAATATCCGTGTTTTGTTGGATAGTGCCTCTCAGTCAAGCTTCATGTCTTTAAAATGTTATCAGCAGTTAGGGCTACCCAAGTCCTCCACGTCTCTCTCGATCTGTGGCCTGGGGGACACCGTGTCCCGAGGATTGTTTGGAGTTGCATGCGAAGTTTGCCCACGAGATCAAGGTTCTCCCAGTTTTCCATTGGACGCAGTTGTCGTGCCCAAAATTTGCAGTGCCATGCCGTCTTCTCAATTGTGTACAAACAACTGGCAACATATAGTCAACTTAAAATTGGCCGATCCCAATTTTAATGAACCAGGGGACATTGATATGTTACTTGGCGCAGATATTTTCCCCCTCATTATTCAGACAGGTCGCATAAAGGGCAAAGCTCATCAGCCCACTGCGTTAAATACTGTGTTCGGTTGGATCTTAATGGGTAAGGTAAATGTTTCTCATTCTCCCCAGGTTAACTCTTTTCTGACTTTGTTGGATAACTCACTAGATAGTACTATAAGGAAATTTTGGGAAATCGAAGAGATTCCTAGTAAACCTTTAGCCTCCCCAGACGATGTTCAATGTGAGCAAATTTTTAAAA